TTGAAATTAGGAGGTTTCCTTCGTCCTAACGGGCGATTGCCTTTCGCCTCGTTGTTCCTCCGGCATCCCCCTTTCTCACGCGTTGTCCTCCAGACTTCCCCGCGCCCCCAAAGGGTCTCCAAACGTGGAAAGATCAGAGTTAGGTGACAGAGCCTGTCTCCTTAACTCTGCATCGCCCTGGTGTCACCACCGGAAGTCTGAGGAGGTTTTATGTGGTTTGTTTTCCTGGCTGGTCTGTGGACATAAGAGGAGACTGGAACAACTGCAAAGTGAGTCCATTCGAGCTGCAGTATATTCTATTGCTTCATCTTTTTCTCATGCCCTCCTCTTGGGAGGGTAGAAAGCTGAAATCAGGATACAAAGTTGGAGGGAGAGGTCCTGTCTTGGTCCAGTAATGATCAGAATGCTGCAGTGTTAAGGTTTGCTTGTATTATACTAATACAATGAAACAACAATCTACTACACAAAGGTGGCTGGGATGCAAACCACACCAAAAGATAATCTGTACACTGAGCCCAATCAGAGTTTACTGTGTCTTCTAGTATCTGGCTCTCGTGTGGAATGTAAGCAGGGAGTTTTGCATCAAACACAGCAAAGAATGCAATGCCATAGGTACAAAATGAGGTATTAGAACATTAAGCCAACTAGAACCACTTGGCAATAGCCATTCTTTGATCATCTAGGTCAGGGGTTCCAAACCAAGGGTGCTCGCACCCCCTGGAGGTGTGAGATGATATTCCAGAGGGTGCGAAAACTTGGGTTTTCAAAATTATAGTGTATATGCATAATTCGTTGCTGTTATTTCGAACTTTTGTAAGGGGTGCGAGAATATATCAGAAGCGTTCTAGGGGTGCGGGGTATAGAAAAGGTTGAGAACCACTGATCTAGGTCAAACTATATTTTCCCAGGCAACCACAGAAGCAAGAGCTTTCAAACTGGAAAAGTCCTGGTCCTTTCCCAACGAATGCTTTAAAATCAATGGAAAATGGGATATAAAATCAGTTAACATTTGTCTAGCTCAGTGGTGGTGAACCTATGGCATGCGTGCCAGAGGTGGCACTCAGAGCCCTCTCTGTGGGCACACATGCTGTCGCCCCAGCCCCACCTCCCCCCGCGGCCCCTTCATCAGCAGTCCCCCCCCCAAGGAGAGTCGCCCCTGAGCGCGGCCCACATGGAGTAGCACAGCCAAGGACATGGCAGCTGGGCAGCAGGGACAAGACTCCGCCCTCACACCCCATTGTGCACAGTTGATGCTGCAGGGCGCAGGTGGAAGGCATGGCTGCCATGGCGCTGCTGGGCCGCCTGGGTGATCTGCAGCAGGCCGTGGAGGCAGTGGATGGCCCTGCAGGCAGGGGGCGGGCGGGTTAGGACAGGGGTGGGCGGAGCAGGGGCAGAGCCGGGACAAGATGGGAGCGGGGGCGGTTTTTGGGCATTCGGTCTCTAAAAGGTTCACCATCACTGGTCTAGATTATACTTGCTGGCATACAAAAGTGTTAGCCTTAGTAATCCAGCATGCTTTTCCACTATGTACCAATATGGTGCACTGATTATCATGAAGAAAAAAACTCTCCATGTGCAACAGATGTGGCCCTCACCTTACTGACATTTACGAGCAACGCAATACTGCTTTCTCCAGGAAGAAGTTGCACAGTGAACCCCTGCTGGATCCTCAGCTCAGGAACGTTCACAGCCACAAATCCAGCAATTGGCTTTTTGCTGACAACGTCAAACTTTGACTCTATCTGAAGATGCCACTGATGAATATTTGGCTCTAGACAAAAATAAAAACAAGAAGGTTGGTTGCTGGTAGACATGAAATGTGATGCTTATTTTACATACAGGTAGTCCTCGTCTTACAACAGTTTATTTAGTGACCATTCAAAGTTACAACAGCGCTGAAAAAAGTGACTTATGACCCCTTTTCACAGTTACAAGCATTGCAGCATCCCCATGATCATGTGATCAAAATTCAGATGCTTGGCAACTAATTCATATTTATGATTTTGCTGTGTCCCAGGGTCATGTGATCCCCTTTTGCAACTTCTTGGCAAGCAAAGTCAATGGGGAAGCCAGATTCACTAAACCAGGAATCTGCAACCTTGACAACTTTAAGACTATGCTGGCTGAGGAATTCTGGGAGCTGAAGTCCACAAATCTTAAAGCTGTCAAGGTTGCAGACCCCTGCATTAAACAACCGGGTGACTAACTTAATCAACTGCAGTGATTCACTTAACAACTGTGGCAAGAAAGGTCGTAAAATGGGGCAAAATTCACTTAACAAATGTCTCACTTAATAACAGAAATTTTGGGAAGAACTCGGGCGGCATGGAAAACCCTGGCCGGGACGATCTCGGGCGGTTTGGAATTGACTTGGGCGGCCGGGAGGAACTCTGGCCGGGAAGATCTCGGACGGCCTGGTGGTGGAGGCCTGGTCCTGACTTTGTTATTCGGCTCCCAGGCCGGGCGCGGGCCTGCTCTGGTGGTCGGGCGGCCTGGCGTTCGGCCCATTTTTGGCCCGTTTTTGGGGCTTGGAAGGACCCGGGCGGCCTGGAAGAACTTTGGCGGCCCGGCGGTGGAGGCTTGACTTCGCCCTCATTACTTGGCTCCTTGGCCCTGGCGCCGGCCTGCCCCAGTTGGTCGGGCGGCCTAGCGTTGGTTGGGCGGCCTGGTGTTGGCCCTGTTTCAATCGAGCGATGGAGGCTCCAGCTCCGGCCCTGCCCTCCTCCGGCCCTGGCTTTTCAACGGAGGGCCTGGTACGGCCCAGAGGACCTAGATGGCGATCTGTCTTCGGCCGTTGAGGCCCTGGTGACGACTGGAGGGCACAGGAGACGTGGCCCCGGCCTTGTCTCTGGCCGGTGGAAGATGGCCTGGAGGATCCTGGCTCTGGCCCCGTTCCAGCCGATGGAAGACTTGGAGTGACCGAGACTGAGAATCTTCTCCCCCCCCC